TCCCCCGCTCACCCCCCCTCCTACACACACAAAAAAAAAATTCCCCCTCGTTTAAGAAGAACAGCCAAAGACAAGCCAGCGTCCAACACCCACCGCCACACCGCGAGGACCCCTCCACCCAGACGCTCCTCCCCAGAAAAATCAATATGCCTGCCCTCCCAGGAGGCAAACAAGCCCGCCGAACGGGAACCCCACCGACAGCGCACCGTCGCGGAGGCGTGAGCGGCCCCGACAGAAACAATACCAGAAGGCCGATACGGACGAACCGACAGCACCAACCGAGCCCCCAGGCGGATTCCCCCACCCAAAAACACAACGAAACCACTCCATCCTGCCGACCACAGCAAACACAGCCGCAAGGCAAAACAAGGGACAGAGCAGCCCAGCGCGAGCCAGAGCAGCAAAGCCGCCCCAGCCGCGCACCAGAAGCCGGTACAAGCAGCAAAAAGAAAGCAACAGACGCGACCCCGCCTCCCCCCTCGCCGCAAAACACCAAGCAAGCCTCCACTCCCAAACCCCGCGCACGATGCACGGCGCACCACCGGTGCCCGCCCCAACAAAGCGAAGCCACATCCCCGACCCGGGGGGCATCCCAAAGGGGCTCCCCCGAAGCCCGCAACCAGCCCACAACAGACTCACATGAACCCCGGCCACAGGCGCGACCACCCCTGCACCCCCCCGGACGACGCAACCACGCCAAGTGCCACGGCCAACCACCGAAACCCGGCACCGAAAGATGAGGCACGCCCGACGCCCCGCAGAACAGAAGCACCCTGGCCGGCACCACAGAAGAACCGATGCCCGGCACCCAGCCCCACCCAGCAGCAGCACAGCTACCAGGCCAGTAGCCCACGTCCGCCACCACGGAACTCCCCAAGAGCACTGTACGCGGCCGCCGTAGGAACCCCCCGAGGCGCCCCAGACCCCGCCCCGATGGGAGCAACAGACCCCAGGGCTAGACCCGCCAGGCACCCCACTCCGAGCGCCCCCCCGAGACCCCCAGGGCTCAAGGAGCCCCGAACCAGCCCCCGCACCCCATAGGACGCACCCCACAGCCCCCCACTACACTAAGCGATGGAGCTGATCAAGGGAGCCCAGAGAGATCGGTCTGATGGGGATGCAGATGCTGTCTCAAGATTAATATGATCCAACAACAGATCTCTGTACTGATTGATGTTGAGTTTATCCTTACTTTTCCAATTCATGAGGATAGTTTTCTTTGCGATACATAATGCAGTGAATGCCATTCAAACTGATTTTNTGGCCTGTGAAAGATGAAGGGTTGAAGTTAGGAACAGGATGATAGAGCTACAGTGAGAGGTATCTAGATCAACTCAGGCTTTGTAACAGTGAAACCACACGATATGCAAGATATTTACCCCAGAACTATTGTTACTTCTTTCGCTTTTTGAAAAGGGGCCCTGCTTTTAAGAATCAAACTAACAGCGATCTGGCTAAGGTGACAAAATTAGTTCGATTTTTAGGGGCTTTATTTTGATATTCCTCATCTGATGTTAATGAACTATGGTTGAGAAAGATCCTCCTCAATTAAAATGAATCACTGGGAACTGTTTTATTTGAATGATTATGGAAACTATGAGGTTAATAAATAAACGTTTTAAAATAGGGAACACATGACATAAAACCATGACAAAAAATAAAAAGATCATAAATATTTATTGGTATATTCACAGACCAAAGTAAACCAAACAAAAAAAAACTTTATAAATATGTCTTAGAAGAGGAGAAATGATGATCTCAACTAATTTAATTAAACATGAACATAAAACCAAGTTAGTGCTGCAGCTGTATTTATTTGTTTATGTGAACGCTGCATTCTGAGTCTAGCGCATACTTTAAGCAAGGTTTCTTACTTTAGAGCATACAGAACTAATTATGTTTTTCCAAACATTATAATTAATTTAGACTTTAAGTTAGACATTATATAACATTATAATGAAAATTGATAATATTAAAATTGATCATGACTATGAAAAAACAAAACAAACTAGTTTTAAAAAGATTGTATATAACTCATAAATGATGATGTTCGTTGTGCAACATCTCAGCTGCACAACAAACATCATCCTGGTGACTGTCTTGTGATTCTGGTTTTCAGTGTGATTTGGTAAAAGAATGTGTGACTAAATGATCATAAATTGTGTAAAGGTCAATAGATGACATTATTTTTAAAGTTAATTTCTCTCAGTTAATCCTTTCAATAGACCGCTACAGATGAATTCCTCTCAGACTGATGATTTTTCTGCTTATGCAATATTTATGATCAGAATATCACATCAGACCAATAGGAAAAATAATCTGGATTAAAATAATGGGGTTAATAGAAACATTCATTGTCAAAATATTTCCTCTTTTAGATTCTCGGAGTGAGGAAGTATCTGTATATTTATAAAAAAAATCAACTCAAATATTTTAACTGAAGATTTGACTGATTTAGGAGGAAACTCTAGTCTTTAATGGATCTGCTGTTGTTGAGGACACTCTAAAGGGACCTGGAGAAAAACAATTTAGACACTCTAAGATGTTCTTGTGTGCTATTTTAGTGATAAAAGAAAAAAGAAGTAGTTTTCACAGCTCCATTCTTCCCTCAGTCATGAACAGGACCCCAAGATACTTGAACTCCTCCACTTGAGGCAGGGACTCTCCTCCAACCGGAAGGGGACAAGCCACCTTTTTCGGGTAGAGAATCATGACCCCGGCTTTGGAGGAGTGGATTCTCATCCGGGCCGCTTCACACTTTGGTGAGAACCACTCCAGTGAATACTGTAGGTCTTGGCAGTAGGGAGCCAGCAGGACCATGTTATCTGCAAAAAGCAGGGACAAGATCAGCTGGTCCTCAAACTGGACCCCTCTGTCCCTTGGCTGGGCCTAGAAATCCTGGCCATAAATGCTGATGAAGATTCTCAGTCATCCAGGTCATAGTCATTCTGTAAAAATTAAAAAAATATCCACTGGACTTGGTTTCCAAGATTTGAAGACGTTTCGCCTCCTCTCCAGGAAGCTTTCTCAATTCAAATGTCTGGATCCGCAGTGAGTTTGAGTCTTATATAGACAAAGCCTTGTATCGCTTGGAAACATGCAAATGGTAACCGATGAATGGACCCAAACCTGGCCATAAAGTTTATGAACAGGACCGGTGACATAAGGGCAGCATTGTCGGAGTCCTACCTGCACTGGCACTGCTGGCAATGTGGACCAAACTCCTCTACTTGTATGGAGACCAGATGGCTCCTTGTAAAGAGTCCCTGACTCCAGTTTCCTGAAGCGCCTCCCTACTCTGCAAGTTCAGAAGCACTGTCCCGGACATCCACGCAATGTTGAAGAGGCGTGTCGGCCATGGCAGCCTGACAACATCCAGAACTTTAGGTACTCTGGGCGGTTCTCATCCACCCCTAAAGCTTTGCCACAGCAGAGTTTTCTGGCCACCTCCATGACTTCAGCCTGGGTGATAAACGAATCCAGCCTCTTGTACCTCGTCTCTTCTTCCATTGCGAAGCATATCAGCCGGATTGGAGAGATCCTCAAAGTATTCCTTCCACTGTCCAACCTATTTCAGGGTCAGCAGCTCCCTACTCCCTCCGGAGGCGCAGGACAGTGTACCAGAATTGCTTTGAGGCCAACTGAGGTCTGAGATTTTGCCTCTGCTAGCTGCATGCTTGACCTCACAATACCTGCTTTCTGCCTTGGTAGTCCCACTGGGCTCAATGAGACTCCTCCTTCAGCTCGACAACACCCCCTACTGCTTGGTTAAAGGATTGGTGCAGGATACAGACGGGTTGTTGCTATAATGTGGACACTGCACTGGTGGGTTGTGGTAAAGAGAGAGCTGAGCAAAAAAAGCAAAGCTGTAAATTCAACGGTCAGTCTTCCAACAGCGGCGCATGTATGACGTCATCCGTGCGCCGGACTGGAGTTGTGACGGGCAGCCCGGGCCCCAGGTGGCTACGCTCTACCCCTTATTCATTCGGCTAGCTAATCAATTCCGATTCTAATTCAATTCCATTTCCAGAGCTAGATCATCTGTGGTAGTAGCACTAGACATATTCCAGGCATGTGAGTAAAAACTGGCAGCAGTTCAGTGGACAGGATGAATGAATGGTAGCCGGTGCGCGCGGATGACGTCATACACACTCCGCTTTGTTTAAAAAAATATATATAAAAAAATATAACCGCGGATGTCTGGGGGACAGTGATTCGCCTTCATGTTATGAATGCTGGCGTTCCATAAATTATAAATTATGAACAGTTTAGTTTGTGCCTTCAAGTCGTTGCCCATAGGAAGACATTACTTGAATATTACAAAACCAAATATCTTCAGAACAGCTCCAAATGACACAAAACTCATATGGGTGAGAAGAACATGATGTAATAGCATAAAATCAAGAGCCCAAGGTAAAAAAAAAAAAAAACAGGGTTCCCCTTTAAGTGGGATACACCACACTTAAAAATGTGCACACATGAAAACCCCCGAGGGTCAGAGACTCTCCCACCACAGTCTCCTAAAATCCTGTGGGAAACACTGGAGCTGCGTTGTCTAAGGCAGTACGCAGAGAACCAGCAACCCCATCGACAAAATCTTCAACCTGTGAAGGGGAATAAACTAAGCATTTGCACTCTGCAGCACTGCTCAGCGACACAGAGGAGAGAGAAAGTGAAACAGATTTTTTAAAATGTATAACTGCACTATCTGATAATGATCTACTAAAATGTAACTTTCTTTTGGGGGAGGAGAACATTGTTAAAGTTATCCTGAAGGTTATTAGAAAGTGGTCAGAGAGGTCTCAGATAGAATGAACTTTCTCTTATCGAGAGCAGTGAGGTGGGGTACCTCAGACATCTCTCTGATGCCCCCTGGACGCCTCCTTCAGGAGTTGTGTCAAGTACTTCCCACCGAGAAGAGTCTGTTTGATGGCCGTGACGCACCTCAAGGAAATAAATGTTTGTTTTTGCTAAAGAATCCTGCTCTGACCTGTTTCCAGGTAACTATCAGCTGATTGCTCCATCTGAACCAATCATAGTGGGTCCTGGAGATGATGTCATCCTTCCATGTCGGGTGGATCCTGACTGGAACGCCATGGAGAAGACGGTGGAGTGGTCCAGACCGGACCTGAAGGCCTCAGGCCCACAGAAGCGTGTGGAGTACGTGTACGTGCACCGGTTCAGGAAGATGGACAGAGACATGATGATGGAGACGTACATCCAGAGGACGTCTCTGTCAGAAGGACTGAGACATGGAGACGTGTCTCTGAGGATCCACAACGTGAGCTTGGAGGATAACGGGAGGTTCAGGTGTTTCATCCCAAACCTGAGCATAGAAGCAGAGGTTCTGCTGGTTGTTGGTGAGGAAACTGCTCCAAACTGCAGGTTCTGGTTGGTTTATTTGGTTCTGGAGAATCTAATGGATCCTGTTGATGTTTCAGACCCAGACTTTGTTCAAATGACGACAACAGAGACATTTACTCAGAGAATCACTCCAGCCTTTCAGAATGAGACCGTCGGTACCGGTGAGTATGCAGATCCGAACAGAACCATCTCAGCCTGAATGTTTGCAGCACTTTAATCTGGACTCTATTGCGTTTCAGGAGGGGTCAGGCTCCATGTTCTTTTACCCATTTTCTTCATCTTCATCGTTTGCCTCGCTTCTGTTTTCATCTACATCGTCAGAAGAAGGAAATCAAACACAGGAAGTAGGTTGGGTTTATGTTCAGAGTTTCCTATTATCAAGGGTTTAAATCTATTCTTCCCTCCATTTTTATACATCATAGGGTCCTATAGTGAGCGGGACACAGTCATTATTTTAAGGTGGTTCCACAGGAATGACGGACAACTTCCTTCTATTGAACTGATACAGTTTCCTGTCATGTCTTTTTTTTTTAACTCTGCACACAATTTTCTTATTCAACAAAAATAATGAACCTACATGAAAAAGGAATAAAATTCAGCACCAAAACTTCTAATTTTAGGAGGCCTGCTTATTTAATGGTGCCTTGTCAGTAAATAAAATGTATTTATAGAAGGAGCTGCAGGGTAGAAAATTTAGCTAATGCTAAATCATTTATTCTGTTTTTAGACTGTTTTAGGTCTGAGGAAACA